GTTTTTTTCACTATTAGTAATCATAGTATTGTCAAAACCTCCAGAATTTCAATGCTGAAATCCTCTGTTGTGCAGTTTTCTTGTCAAGTCTTTTTTATACGATCATCAGAGTTGAATGTTAACAAGTTGCAGCTGAGATTCAATCTGATAAATATCACTTAAAATTTATCACTATCATTTTGTTTTGTATACTACAACAGGCCTCCTCCTCATGTTCCCATATGGGAACTCAGGAGGCTTTGGATGAGCTTGGAGCACCTGCAGCCAGGGAACCTCCCTGTCCAACGGTGAGTAATGTTGATGTCAGGGTGGTGGGTGGCATTCAGCCTCCCTGTATGGATGCTGGATGGAGAATTATTCTTTTTCACAGCATGTCCTAGTGCTATGAAAGAATTTACATCATGCTATGGATTTATAGCATCTGTGGGTTGATGCCGAATGATGTCTTTGTGGTCTAACAGCAGGAGGTGTAGAAATAAAGACTGGGTGTTTGGAAAGAAAGTGTAATTTAATCAGTGAGTTTAAACCACTGAGGATTGCTGCGACAAATGTTGTGGCTGCACTCTGATTGGTTTGCCCTCGCCCCCTCCACTACTGTGTCAGGTCGAAAGAAGTCGTTCAAGATTAGCACTTGTCTTTTGATTAGTGAGGCTGGAAACAATCCAGACATTTCAATTAAGTTGTAGTATTTAGTCCACTGTTCATCTATGAGCGTGATACTCCGGGCTTATCTTCTGCGTTGCATAATCTCCTTAGTGGAGTAACAGTCCTCACCACGGGCGTCTTTATCAACTGCAAATCCTCAATCCAACAAATGAAGGGTAGAGTGCACTCACAGAGGAAACAATTATTATTATAACCATTATTCCATCAAACATTTACTGACAGACCAGCAGATTTGAAGTCCCCCTCCAGTCAAAAATGTGTTGTTTTTGTTGTTATTTTTGTTGTTTGCTGTTCACTGTGCAGAATGATGTATGTGCAGAGTTACTAGAAGGTTCCTTTTACATGAATTTACTAAAAGGTTAAAGTGTCTCTGAGCTCACCTCTCAGTTTAAGACGTGGACATGTGAGCATGAATTTGTAACATCACTGCTAGCCTGGAAGTCAATCAAGTTCCAAAATGTAACTTATGTAAACCTGAATCCTCCAGGTCACAGACACTGAAAATTGACCTTTCCTTTGAAGTATTTACATCTTCTGTCCAGCAGTTAAAATAAAAAATATTGCATATTCGATTCCATTTTGGATTATTTTTGGAAAATATCAGACACAAACTATTATTCATAAAGTATATTTATATATCTAATTACAGCAACATAACTTGGAGGGGCTCTTAAAGTATTTGTAATATGTGACCGGCTATGTTGCAATTAGGCTTTATATAAGGTTATATACACTCATGTCATTGTAGTGAACCATTTACACAATATTTTATGTATTATAGGTAACACATTGGACTAATAAAACTCAGGAAGTACAGTATAGGGCAGGGTTTCTCAGTTTGTCACATGAGTGCTTTAGTATCTTGATTTGTCAAAGTGTTCAATTCAGAAGGCTTTATTTGCATAAATGTTTCGGAACAATGTTGCCAAATCATCAAAATATAATTTGTCCAAATATTATATCGTTGTTTGGTCTTAGTTATTTTTATGTTGTTAGGCAGCTCTCTAGTTGTTTTAAGGTGTAATTTAGGTTGTTTTATGGTGACATCTCTGACATGATAATACAAATGTTATTCGTGATTTTATAATTGCATTTCTGTTTAATACTGATTTTGAGACACATTTTGAGTTACAGTACGTTGTTTGTTATTGTTGATGCTGCCTTTCCTGACCAGGACAATTTCAATTGTTTGTGGCTCTGATTTACTGAGATCTACGAACACTGAATTCTTATGAATATGTGGCACTCTGATGTTTGGGAAGAACATGCTACTTGACTTTATGTGTTTTGTACTGTTTGGGGGGTTTATATTCTGTAGCTCTGTTATGCTCTCGTATGCTCCTGACCCAACCTTGCAATGGGGAGAATGCGCAATATATAGGATTACTAGACTGGAATAACCAGCTGCCTTTACAACAGATATAAGATTACCAGGCTGGAATATCTAATCCGTGCTACCTGACATGCACTTTGAAATCCTGTCACCCTTAATGGATGGGCATATGGGCTTTTGCGATAGAATTACTAAGATCCTGTGCATTCAATGAGTAGCCCACAGATTTTGTTACTTTGTCATTTCCAAAGACAACCAGAGTGTGAGGCGCTCATATCTGTTGGATCAAAACACAGACTAAAGATCTACACTGAACTGACAGAGCAGAACTGGATAACAAGGGACTGATACAAGGGACAAAGCATGCCTCTAAGGAGAGGGCAAAAATAGAAAAAAAAAACCTAAGGCATGAATCACATAAATCATCCAGAGGAAACAATTATCATAGAAACTACTATATAGAAAGATTCATAGACAAAGTAGAGAAGAAGAGAATAATAAGGGTACCTTTAGCCTAAAATACTTACGCTTTGTCACGCTGTCTGAAAGCGTCAGATATGACGCATTGAGATGAGAACGCTTTGATTTCAGTCTGATCTCGCAACTTTCTGATCCAAACAGCTGATTTCCATTTCATGCTTCTTTATATTGCTGTTCCTCTACATTCCAGAGAGGACAGTATTTTATTATAATCCACTACATTTATTTGAAACCTGTAGATACTAACCAGATTACAGATTACGAGTTTACAGAAAAGTTGTGTCATGATGCCTTTAAGAAACTCAACATGTAGTCACTGTTGACCAGGTTGAATAAAAGCAAAAATACCACAAACCTAAAACTAGAGTTTACATTAGAAACATAAGATAAATATGATTCATGAAATGGTAAAAATTGGCTCCACCTCCACCAATGATGATATACTATGTAAACATGAATATGTTAGTAATAATAGTTTATAATGACTTTTTTGTTTTTAGGAAGACTTTAGGTACATTTTGCTATTATTTTCTGTGTTTAATTATTGATTTATTTAACAGAGACATAGTGAAATATTGCTGTATGCTATTTTATTTTTTCATCCTCGTCTGTTTTCCCTGGAAAGATGTTACAAAGTTAAACTAAGAAAGACTATAAGATTAAAATTTAGAGTTATTGAAAGCATGCAAGCAGAGCAGGATTAAAAACAGAGGAGTATTAATGTTAGTAAAAAAAGGACACCTTTGTACTACATTTTCAGTTACTAATTTAAAAAACGTAAAAAATACACACATTTATTTAGTGTGTACAGTATTTTCACAGTGTGGTAATGCTACTTTTACCGAACAATCTGAATACTTCCTTCACTTCACTTCAGGTACTTCAGTGTTGAAGTTATAACTTTTTTTCCCTGAACAAATGTTGTTATTCCTATCAGGTGTCTATGACTCAAAGTCAAGCTCTATAAAGGTGAGCAGGAGGTGTTTATATATCGATGCAGCGTCAGTATAGTTCACACACAAGCATGCTGATGGAGAAATTGCTTTGTCAACGCAGACTGTTAATGGGTAAGGTGACAGTGTCATCGAGATGAGGGCTGGATGCTGGGAGGGAGGGAGGAGGGATGGATGATGGATTGAGGGTTTCAAAGAAGGCCAGGGGGAGGGACGTTATCCCTCTAGTATACTGTCAGGAATCCTGAGTGACGCTGCAGTAGCTGCAGTCCATCTCACCCATTTACCTCCTCTTTCCCACTTTTACTGACACCCATCATTTTGCAGGGGAGTGGATCGATTACTTACCCTCCCAGACTTGTACGGTCTCTGATCGCCCTCTCGCTGTCCATCTTCCGGTCTCCCTTTGCCTGTAAGCAGATTCTATTATGAGGTGTTTAAGTGACAGTTCATGGCTCAGCTGACTTTTTTCTCAATGACATATTCAGGACATTGCAGGATCACACAAGAAAAAGATCCCTATACATCCAACATGATGAGTTAGCTGAGTGCACTTCCCTGCATCCCTGCTACTCTATGCTATATGTGCATAGGCAAACCTGAATGTATATTTCAGCTCCAAACATGTGAAATTATACTCACTGAAGCACATGTACATGATGCTCCTGTGAGGACACATAATGAGATTCCTGGTGGTGACGGTGTGTCGTGATGTATAGCAAAGCACAGAGTGTGAAGTCTTGAAACAGTTTTCAATGACCTTGAAGCCGTGTGCCCGTGCCTGCAGTGGTGCTGCTCACGCCGCAATGTTATAGGGACCAGCACACAGCCAATTCCTGGCTGCAGCAGGACGAGAGTGAGATAAGGAATGATTTCTCAGCTCTGGCATTCAGTTCTCTATCAGGTAACACAATATTCAACCTATGATGCCAAATTGGCCACCCTTCTGAGAAAGTACAAGATTAACTTTGATTAAAGTTTTCGTTCCTCGAGAGAATTCAGCAGAGCTAAAAAAAGGAAGTGCTGTCTTTCTGTAATGTGAATTTAACCTTTTAATTAGGCTTCAAAGCCACAGAGCTACTTTATAAATCTGACAAACCTTCAATAGTTGGCAGGCACCAAGGTTTTAGAGTTGCCAGGGACAACAGAAATGAAAAAAAACTAATAGATCGGCAGGATTTTCTTGGAAAAAGGCTCTCAACCCTGTGAACCCTCTTACAAATCTATACTTACACCTATGACCTATGCCCAGAATACATTGCCCCAGTGAAAATTTCAAGTATTTATCTATAAAATCTATTCTAGTGCCTACTTTTTCTACTGCCTACTTTTTGTTTTTCCAAAGAGGAACTGGCTTAGGGTTTGCACAGAGAGATTTTTTAGGAAAGGTTTGGAAAACATTTGTGATGTCAATAAAATTTCACAGAATATTGATGTTAGATGAAATAACACTTCACATCAGCATGTATTACTAACGATGTAAACAATATAAAGCTGAAGCTGTAGGTATTGATAGTGATAACAAATACTGTGACGGAAAAAATACAGTTTATTCCCCAAGGGTGAGGGTGGATTGGATGGATCCAGTGCATGTGGATGCTTGCTCTGCAGGAAAGAGGGAAAAGAGAGGGTCCCACTCTCCCTTTACCATGTCAAACAGCGATTGGCTCCTGCAGAGTAAATCTCCTATCAGAGAGCTACCTATAATGTCCTCACTTATCCCACTGACGGAACAGGGAGCAGAGAGAACAAAGCCAAGTGACCCCCACATTCAAAATACAGTGAGTTGCCTCTGTGTGTTTGCATTTGCCTGTGTTTGTGTGTGTGCGCATGTGTAAGTTTGTGAGTGTGTGTGGGTACCTCTGGCATCTTTGGTTTCGTATTGGGTATTAAATTACCCAATGGGAGCTTTAACAGGGCTAGAGACACTCTTCATTGTGACTGTGGATGAGGGAGAGATTGAAGGTGGAGCACCGCGGAGCTGCCGGGCAGAGTAAAGCAGGCACAACAACTTCTGCAGAGCCGGGGACAAGGGTGAGTGGGGCAGACATCTGCGCACTGCTGGACTGAAACGTTTACACTTAATTAAAGATATATTTGCATGTAGTTGTGGGTGCTTTGACGTTCCGATCTGATAAGGGTAGTGATGTCAGTGGATGTGTTGTGTCTTTCAATGTTGTGTGTGAGATAAGGTGAGATAAGTTAGTTCAGTGGTGAGATTTTTTATTTAATTTAGCAAAGTTGCTTTTAGAAACAATTAGGTGTCTAAGATGCAAGAATGTAAATCTAACAGCACTTTTCTATTCTCGGCATCTTCAACTGTGCTTTCTCTTGGACTCAGTAACCCCTATTTGCTGACAAGGCACAATCAATACGTTTATTTTTTGCACAAGCCCTATCATGATGTCCTTACATAAGAAGATTCAATCCTGTATCCTGGACTGTTGTGTTACCTGCTACAGTGCAATTGGAAATAGAACCAGATAAGTCTCTCTGACTGCGCAGGGCCCCTGGTGTCAAGTGGACACAGAGGTTGCAGCTTAAAAGCATGTGTCAAGATTAGGTTACCTGTCCGAACCAGACAAATGGAATGATAAACAGCTACTTGGAGATAAAGTAAACGTGATGCTGATAGACTAATCTGAACAGGGCTGAGATGGTTTAACCAAGACGGTAGTTAGAAACTCACATTCAAACATTTAAATGGAAAAAAATGTGTTTTGGTTTTGATGAGTCTCTGCTTTCAGTCATAAGTGAAGACTCAGATGTTTTTCCATGAGGAAATTAAACATGTTCAGTTTTGTAGCACATGATCAGCAATAATACTATCCAAACTCCATGTAAGCACTTTCACAGCCGAACTTGCTGAGTTTGTGTTTTCGTTTAGGTCATGGGAGAGAACTGGGGGAAAAAATAACTGCACAGTATCATATGGCATGTTCTCTGCTGATGCAAACGGGAGTTGACAGAAAAATCTCAACAAAACTGAATTGCTCTATAACAAAATATAACAGAACTTTGCTTCCCCTTCCATCTTTTACAGATTACACACAGCACTGAATCCAAAAGCAGTGAACAGCTGCCTGAATGATTATCTGGGGGAGGGAGGCCCTGCCAGGATCTTCAGCGTGGCACTGGTTGTGGTGTGGCCTCTGTCTCCTGTACTTGAACCAGGCTGATAGACAGAGCTGTGGCTAGCGACAAGACAGAGGATGGAGGTGCCGCTGGTTAATTTTGAGAACATGGATGATGTTGGCATCAACCTGGGAGACCCGAGTGACTCCGGGTACCCGACTTCACCCACCTCAGAGGCCCCAGATCAAAATCTTTTAACTCACCGTTTGACTTCCCCTCACCAGTCGCCGCACAGAGGACGACGTGGGCATCAGTCTGGTCAAGAAGGGTTGTCGCCGTCCACTCCTCAGACTCTGACCACAAAAGCAAACTCCAGCAGTGGCAGTTTGATCTCTAATCTGAAGCTCCTGATCAACAGTGAGTCTCCCACTGACAGTGTCTTCAGTAAGATGGCGAAGGATAGCTATGAGAATGAGGATTTGTTTGAAAAGCAATGTATGGAAGAAAAAGATGAGAAAGTCGTCATCAATGTTTCAGGCCTGATGTTTGAGACCCAGCTCAGCACCCTGAGTAAGTTTCCAGAGACGCTGCTTGGTGACCCTATGAAGAGGATAAGCTACTTCGACCCGATGAAAAACGAGTACTTTTTTGACAGAAACCGTCCATCTTTTGACGGTATTCTGTACTACTATCAGTCAGGGGGGAGAATCCGCAGACCGGCCAATGTTCCCTTAGATGTTTTTGCTAATGAAATCGTTTTCTATGAGTTGGGTCATGAAGCAATGGAGCAGTTCCGTGAAGATGAGGGGTTTATCAAAGAGCCAGAAGTCCTTTTGCCCACCAACGAACTCCATCGACAATTCTGGCTCCTGTTTGAATACCCAGAAAGCTCCAGTGCAGCCAAATCTGTAGCTCTGGTTTCTGTGCTTGTCATCGTCATTTCCATCTTCATCTTCTGCCTAGAGACTCTCCCAGAGTTCAGGGATGACAGTGACATTGTCCCGGGTTTAACCCAAATCATCAACGGGAGCCAAGACAGTTCTGCTCCTCATCCCGCCACTAAAGACGTGATGGCATATATCACAGATCCCTTTTTCATTGTGGAGACTATTTGTATCATTTGGTTCTGCTTTGAAGTTGGTGTTCGTTTTGTGGTGTGCCCGAGCAAAAGTGATTTCTTCAATAACATTATGAATGTCATTGACATAGTTTCTATTATTCCCTACTTCGTTACCTTGGGAACAGAGCTGGCCACGACCCCTGATGATGATATGAACTCGAGTCAGAACATGTCTCTTGCAATTCTACGAATCATCCGTCTAGTGAGAGTTTTCCGAATTTTCAAGCTCTCCCGACACTCGAAGGGGCTTCAGATCTTGGGGCAGACATTGAAAGCCAGTATGAGGGAACTTGGGCTGCTCATCTTCTTCCTTTTTATAGGAGTCATCCTATTTTCAAGTGCCATCTACTTTGCAGAAGTGGATGAGCCCCAGACGCAGTTTGTTAGTATCCCTGATGGTTTCTGGTGGGCTGTGGTGACAATGACCACTGTAGGATACGGAGACATGTGCCCCATCACGATGGGAGGCAAAATGGTCGGGACCCTTTGTGCCATTGCCGGTGTCCTGACCATTGCCTTGCCCGTCCCTGTCATCGTCTCCAACTTTAACTATTTTTACCACCGTGAAACTGAGCAGGAGGAGAAACAGATCATGGATGCAGCCGCAGAGGCTGCCCAGAAAATGTCAGCTGCAAACAAGTATGGAAGCACACCTTCACTAAACAAAAGTAACGGCACCTGGCAGAATGAGAAAAACGGCATGCACTGATAGAGAAACTAAAGTATTTATTTATTTCAAGGGCATGAAAAACACAGGGACAAATCAAACATATGCAGTAGTGAGATGCACTGGATGATAGCAGCGTATCTTTCTCGCTATTTTGTACTCCAAACAGGGCAGCATTTGTGCATATTGTTACAGTATTAATAGGCACTCTGTGGTGAGACAGCCTTTACACAAGTTGTCTGTCTGCTTGTGGATGTGTCAAAGTGCAATTAACACAACTCAGCAACTACTATGTCAGTTAACTGGGAAGAACTAAAAAGGTAGACCTATTACCTTTCATCCAATGCAATTTGAAGAATAATGTGATGGGTCATTTGTACTAAACACATTTCACCTTGAAACTATAGATTGTTAAACTGTACAAGTGAAAGTCAGAGTAAGTTGTAAATTTGATCAAAATGTGTCTGTTTGCATAACAGTAAGTTTATCCCACAAAAGATATAAAAAACCCTTTAGATTATCGTAGCATTTAAACTGGGAGTATAGTTGGAGCTCGTATTACATCACAGTTCCCTGTTAGTCTACACTTCGTCAGATTCAGCAAATTCTAGATAGACCTTGGCATGATTTTCAAGGGCAGGTGAATGTGTCCAGTGTAAGGCAAGAGGACAGCAGCGCACACATTCTCTTATCAGCAAATCTATAGTTGTGAATGCTAAGCCAGCAGCACTTGTCCATGTGACACAGCGTAACAATATCTGTGTGATAAATAGTTGTCACGATAGCATGTCTGCTGTTATTGTTGTACATAGGCTGCAAAATATAAATCAAACAATGAAACCGCATTATAGTACATGCAATAGTTGCATGCAGCAGTTTCAACTTTTAAAATCACAAAAGTGTTTATCGACATGATTTCATAATTATTACTTGACATTTTGCACCAGATTATGCAGATTGTATATGCAGTCACCTTCTAACGTGTTATTATAATGTGAATTTACCCTTTAAATCCATATCAGTTTTTTGCACTAAAGTTTTTTTTCTACATATCTCATTAGCACCTTTGGAGCTTCACACCGTCAGCTGTTGGCAGAGAAAACATATCTATTAGAGTGTATAGAAATGTAAGATGACATATATATTTGTGATCAAGAGAACCAAGGAAAGAGCAAGACAAAAAAACAACTTGCAGTTGAACATTTCTCCATTTACCATTGTTTGCACATTTCTACTGCATGGCATAGTGTGCCCAAATGAGGTTTAACTGTTATAATCAGTAACTGAAAGTTTGAAATATTTATTGTAACTAAATACTAAAATATATTGTAGCATTTTAATCAGACAGTGATGATCATTATATTCCATGTGAAAGCCAATACTTCTACTGGATGTGTGAGATGATGACAACAAATGATGACGTCTGTGTCTCACTGGGAAAAAATTAATTGGTACTATATATGCATGCCACATTCCAATCTTGAAAATGTACTGTATGTGGGTTTACTATACATATAAATCCAGCTTGGATGTAGTTGTAACACACTCAATGCCTTTCTAATAATCCCAAAATATGCAATAATAATGACGTGTGGGTGGAAAATAAATATGTTGTATTTTTCACTCATGGAAAGAGCAATACCTGTAATTAATTAAAATGAAATGCAATAAGGTGACATCAGTTAGTCACGTTGGTACTCAGCACTTTACTATGTTATGAAGCACATCATATTTGAGGACTGTTACTGTATGTATCAGCATTGTACAGTATACAATGTCATAATTTGCTATGTTTTCTTTATCCTGTAAAGAGTGCCTTTCATTAAACATGTATCCTGTGAAGTTTCCCTCTGATGATTTCATCTGTACGTGTGACACTAGACAGCAAGCAGACTTTAAGTTGTCTGTTCAACAATAATTGTGATGAATGGAGGTGACGGTGTTAGTGTATGGCTTCAGGGCTGAACACTCATTATCACCTCATCTTAGCTGCTATTAACGCCTTTTCGCTGCTGGTTCTGTGCACTCATGATCATGATGGCGTCCCTCTCTCTATCTGAAAGTTCTCCCCATTTAGTCCTGTCTAAGAATGTGTCACATCACGAGGGGAAAAGAGCAGAGTTAGGTTTTTTTTATATATATCTCTGGTGTCATGGTGTAGATGGCAGACTGCAGGAGCAGACATTTCTCTCTGTGAACTGTAACAAGCCTGTTATCTAATTATGAGTATGAGTAAATGAGTAGGACACAGTCTGGATAAAAATAGATGGGGATCACCAAATCATGCAGACATGCAACACATGTAAACCTGACATACTGAGGGTTTTTTGTTTGCTTTGAAACACAGTTGGCGTTTTCTTTATGGAGAAATTCTAGTGCCGTGAGCTTGACACAATGTCTTTGACTGGGATAGCTTCAAAAGCACCAAATTAAATATTCAGACCAAATGAATCATTTATGAGATTATCTATCTTGGCGTCCAAGTCTAGGAGCTGGCTGTTTCACTTGATGCTTTTGTGTCTCATACAGTCACATCAAGGACATATTATAGCCTAGGTTAATGTGCTAATGCTAATATGTTAATGCTAACATGTTAAAAGAATATTTAATTTTGATCTGTCAAAATTTGATTTTAGGTGGTTTCTTCCTTTTGCAGTCTATTCAGAGGCCTGTTTGTCTTATCACTAGTTAACGGTCTGGTCAGCGGGCTGCCCTTCTGCCCTGCTGATCACTGATCGCATCGTGATACACCAGAAGACGAGGCCTGATAGTATTTTAGTATTTAACAGACAGGTGGCTCTGGCAAGGTCAAAGCCAACGTGAGGCTGTCATTTATAATTCATCAGGGGTTCCATGAAGAGATCACATCCATCCTGCCTTTGATAAAGATTCACCCCAAGATATTCATTCAAAGACCAGCAGATAGTCTTATCACTTTGACACAACAGACAGTTCTGCAACCCTTAATGGATCTAAAAATATCACTGTTGAATGAACATTTTTCCCTTTCCTCTCCAATTCAGTGTCCTACCTCCATTAAAGGGAAACAATGGACGAGTCTCACACGAAAGCTCAGACAATAAGTCTCACGTGAGTAGATTGGGTTACTGTTTTGTCAGCAGACACATTACAAGCCATTTTCAGACCTGCACAGACAGCAGCCTGTGTATTGTAGTTCACTTCTTCCAGAGGGTGAAGTCACTTGGAACTGGGCAACTTTGTATTAAATCCCTCCAAAGTACCTGTTTCTTCAAGTAACTGTAACTCTTCTAGATGCAGGACAGAGCACACGATGGCATCAGGCTGCAGTGCCATTAGGTTTTTGATCAAAGCGTAAAGGCGGTGCTGTTTTTGAGCACAGCAGGTGTGATATTGAAAGGCAAAGCTATTTTTGTGGGTTTAATATTGATGAAAGTTGTGCTCACCTACAATATTAACTTAGCCATTGATTCTAACTTTGCTGACACCAAGAACATTCAGACATGGGTTTTGCATTACTTTTATCACTTCTTTATTGACTACAGGGCTAATATGATTACATCAAGAAGCAAAAAGATCTTCACCAAAAGGGAAAGGGTGCATTATGACAAATGAGCCGTGTGTTTTTGGCACAAGCTAAACTAAGCTTGTGAGGCGCTCCATCTGTTCTCTCAGCACTGGAGAGATGAAGGACAGACAGGTGGACACTCCCGGCCTCTCACTGGGGGTGATGGAGGATCAGGCTTCCTGACACAGTGTGACAAAACACTGGGAAGTCATTCTATTTATCATTTTTATTTTCATTTGCCTCACTCATTTTGAAAATCCTTGATGTCATCCAGGCAACTCACCCAAGATAACGCATGAATCAACTTGAATATATCTTATATTATTACCAATGAATGATCCTACTAACAAGTGTCTAGTCTGTGTATCCACAACCCCGTCTCCAAAAATTACATTTATATACAACTAATTTGCAACAGCAAATACATCTGGAAGTAAATGTAATGCTGGACAGATCATGTTTTCTATTAACATAATAAGGAGATGTTGTTGAACATATCTCACAAGTCACAAAAATATTATATAATATATACATAATATGTTATTTCACATGCATGTTTTTTCCGCCAATATATTCAATCTTGTAATACAATATCTGTTCATAGTGCTGACCACATTATCAGACTTTTTTTAATGGTTATGTTTAGGCACTTACAGCCCTCATGGTCTGCTTTAATACAGAAAATGTCCACTGTGACTTCAGATTATTGACATTTATCCAAAACCACAATCTTTCCTGAACTGTAACCAAAGTGCTTTTGTTGATTAAACCTAACTGCAGATTGGAGTCTGGATGTGAATCCTGAACTCTGGTTTCACAGTCCTGCGCTTTGTGCACCTGTTGTCCACTTTGATCACATAATCCAGAAAGTGTATTTTTGTCAGCAACGTAATTGGGAAGACCATCTATAGTGATATATAGATGTCAGGAGACCGGCGTCCACATCTATCTTCTTTCTCTTTGCTATAGGCATCAATTGTTTTCCAAAAAAATTAAAAACATATCAGTCAGCCACACTGTTTCACTGGCTGACATGATCCTTCATTACACGAGCACTGTTCAAATCCGTGACTGAAAGTAGTCTCCAACAAATTCACTGTTTACTTCTGTTTGAGAAACCTTGCTAAAAACAACACTGCCCAGCTGGTCCATTACTTAGCCTTCATTGAATCTATATAGCTATGCTATAGCTATTTCAAAAGATTTACATCCACAGTAGGAACCAATGGGCTTGAAGATGAGAGCCACAGATAGATGTGAAAAGTTTTGAGAGACAGGGGCGTCGCACAAAAATCTGGGCCCTGTAGATAAGCATTTTCTATGGGCCCCTCCCAGGAGTTCTAGTATTTTTGTGGTCCCTCGTGTGGTCCCTCATGTGGGGAGAGCCCTGTACACTCCCCCCAACCCCCAAGTCCAACACCCCTGTTGAGAGATGGCCTGACAAACTTTTCATGAGCAGAACAATAACCAAAATACAGATTATTGCAAGCCTTGTCATTTATTTACAGCTATCAAAGAGAACTGATAAAGACATACCTTTTAAGATTGATTGACTGACTTAATGTCTGTGTTTATGGAAAAAGCTATACTGTTACATATGTTGCCAGAAAATATAAAACTATGTTGCACATTAACAGAGTCTCTCTTTTACTCTTGTTTTAGTGATATGACAAGAAACTCCTGTGATCCTGATTGAGAGTGCATGGCAGAAGGACTTTGTCCCTAAAAACTCTTCAATTATTCAAATGACATTTTGGTCTACTTTAATAATTCAGAGTGGCTTAAAGGAGCATTTGTGATGACCAGCTCTCAATATGTCAAATACGCCATTACAGTTAATATCGTAGTAATTCAATAAAGTATTTAGGGTATGTTGTATGTGCACGAGTAATGAGTAATTATTAATACTGGATGCCGTAGTATTCTCTCTTATCGGTCTGCTCAGTTCTGCTCTGCCTGGGTTCACTATTTCCCATCTATCATTTTAAGAGTGGAGAGTGGAGTCCCATGACAGAGAGGGTGAGTAATGATTAAAGGAGATAAAGATTTATGACAGGTAACTGCACAGTGACTGCTGCTCCGCTGCAGTGCGTCAGCCCTGGAGGTCAAAGACAGGACATTGTGGAACGAAACGTGAGTCTCACATTTGTCCTGCTTAACGCCCATGAAAAATGAAGAAGGTGACCTAAGTATCACCCGGGATCAAGCAGTAGACGACTCATTACTTTCAGATGACAACAGGCTGCTCTTCACATCTGGCTAAAAATGTTTACACCAACTGAGAGGCAATATGATTGTGCCAAGACCATGGGTTATCTAGCTGTGGGGCATTACAAAGATGAATCTGGATAACACTATACAGACAATTACCTTAAATATTCTTACAATGGGGAAGACTACTGCACATGAAATAATTGCTTCCAGAACAAGGAAAGATTTGTTCATTTAGACTTTTTTAGCAAGTAATATTTAGTCATTACCAGGATTGTTATTGTACTTGTACTGAAATACATTTTCTCTTGGAACGCAAACTCCAAAAATGAACAAATGCGTAAAATTTTTCTAAAGGTTACTGTTTGAAAATCTCAAAATCAACTGGGAGATGTGGGCTGGCAAGTCATGTAAACTACAGAGAGAGGTGGAGGAAGTATTCAGATCATTTAGTTCAGTTAGAGTAGAAACACTGTTATATATAAATACCTCATTACATGTTAAAAACCTGCATTGAAAATTTCACTTAGGTAAAAGTAGTATTAGCAAAATGTACTAAAAGTATCACTAGTTAAAGTTCTCATTATACAGAAAAATTGGCCTGTGTGCGTTATTCTTTTATATCATTACCACTGATGTATTAATGTGTAAATGGAATTTTATGTTGTAGCTGGTTGAGGCAAAGAATATTAGATCTAGACCTATTTTATATACTATTGGGTAGTTTGGTCTATAACAATGCATCATATTTTATTTGTTCATTATATGTTTTGTCTGTAAAATCTTAATCTGCAAAGTAAATAGCAACTGAAGTGGTCATTTAAATGTAGTGGAGTAAAAAGTACAATATATCCTCTGAAATGTAATGGAGTAGAAGTATAGAGTAGCCTGAGATGAAAATACTCAAGTATTTGTTTACTTGAGAAAATGTACTTAGTTACAATCAAGTGACCTGCGTGATAACTTACAGGACTAATTTATCTTGCCACAGAGACAGCAGGACGTTGTTTCACAGTGTTTAGCAGGACACCTTGTGGCTTCACTTTGGTACTACACTTAACTAAAGT